GAGCACAAAGAACAGCCTGATGAACACGAGAGCAGCCCTGGGAGTCCCGTGTCTGTGCCAGCCCATTTCCAGCCTGGCCCTACTGAGGCAGCAGGTGAAGTGAGGATGGAGGAGACATCACCACAGAAGAGAAACCATCATCCATTCCCAGTGGGAAATTTCCTTAGTGCTGATTTGGAGAGCTGTAGCACAGGTGAGTGAGAGAGGTCACTACTGGGAAATGACTACACAGGCTCAACCTCTTTGCCTTTCCCACCACAGGTGCAAAATATATATATATTTATAAATAAATGTATAGATATATATCTTGCCTCAGTTCTAAGCTGTTCTCAATAGCCTACAAAAGAAACCTTCCTTTCTGGTCAGCTCCACTCTTAAATTGCAATTACTTGCCTTCCTTTTTCTTTAGGTTTCTCTTATTTTGACCCATAAACAGCTGGAGGGTTTTGTTGTATGGTTTCTTGGACGTTTGGGTTTTTTGTTGTTTTTATAATCTTGCTTGAGCTACTCCTTCCATGTTACTTTTCTTTAGGATTTGTGTTTGTAACACCAACAAGGGCTCTTCCTGGTAACTCTGCTTTTACAAAAGTACTGACTGAAGTGACTACAGTTAGAGTAGATGAGTGGATTTGTCATCAAGTACAGGAAAAGACAGGGGTTAGTCTTCAGAAACACGAACTTTTGGAGATGCACAATCCATACTTGCTTCTGCTTCCTAACTGCATGCCACCTTTTTGTTGCTCAAAATGTCTGTTTAAACCATGGAGTGTCAGAGACACCGAGGCGATGGGGATGGACCTGTGATCTCTTCCACCCTGTGTAGTGTGAACTCATTCTACAGATATTGCTGGAATAAAAGCAGCTGTGCTTTGAAGAGCTTAAACAGGAAAATATACTGTATATCTCAAAGGATGCAGGCTTCTGCTCAAGTAGCTCCTTTTTTCCCCCTTTGCCTTCAGCAGGAGTCCACCAAAGTTCCAGGAAATCAGTTTCACAGCTTTTCAGCCGACTGAGAAGTGGACAGTTCTGTGACAGTAAAGTCTTCTGATATCAAACTAGGCATTTTGTGACTTATTCTTACTTCTCCTTGACTCAGAAACAAGAAGTATTTTTGTAATTCCTGATTTATTTTTCCCAGTACATGATTTCTGATGACAGGTTTAGCCTTTATTTTGCAGCTGACTGGGGGAAAGAAAAAAAAATGCCAACATTGACAGTTTAGGCTCTTGTTCTTGTGGAGAGGACTGGGATGGCACAAGTGGTGATCCAGGTACTTCTGTAGTACATCAAGGACAATTTTTTGACAGAAGGGCTCAACAGGGCAAGTGAGGCTATGCTAGACATGCTGTTCACACATAAGGAAAGGCTGCTGGGAGCACTGACACTGGTGGCAGCCTTGGCAGCAGCAACTACAATATACCAAAGCTTTAGATTCTGAGGGAAGTGAGGAAGATACATAGTTGAATTGCAACCTTGCAATTTAGGAGAGCAGACTTTGTCTCCTGCAGACATTTTGTTGTCAGAATCCCACAGAAGACTGACCTAAAGGGCCCAGGAGGGCACAGGAACAGTCCATTCTGATCTGCAGGAAGCTGAGCAGACATGGAAGAAGGCCAGCATGGCTGAATGGAGAGCTCCTGACTAAGTCAGAGGCAAAAGGCAAGTACACAGACTATGGAAGCAGGGGTGGACTACCCTAGAGGAATAAACACTGCCTAGGCATGCTGAAACACAACTAGGAAAGCCAAAGCTCAGCTGGAGTTGGAGTTAGTGAGGGATGTGAAGGACAGTTCCAGTACATTAGCATGGAAGGAAAAGTGAGTAAAATGTGGGCCCCACTACATGTGGAGGTAACCTGGTGACAGAGGACAGGGAAGTGATGGAGGTGCACTCATGGGTGCCTTTGCATCAGGTTTTAACTGGAGAGGTCTGTGCTCAGAGCTTTGGGTATGTTTTGGGCACTGAGGTGCTATCCCAAGGACATCTGAGTGAAGGACTTGCTTATCCTGCATTTCTAGAAGCCTATGGGAAAAGCTGGGCTTGATTCAAGGATACAGGCTGATACCATTCCCATGTAGCTGAGCACTGGAACACAGAGCAAATGATGTGGAGTCTCCATTCTGGAAACAGTAAAAACTTGACAAGGCTGTGAACAACTTGAGCTGGTCTTTGAAGTTAGCCCAGTTTGAGGAGGAAAGGGAATTGACCACATGATCTCCAGAAGACAATTTCAACTTAATTATTCTGCTCTTCTGTACAATAAAAACAACAGAAAAAGGTGATTCTGGCTGTTGGGATAATTAATACTCAAGCTTAGTATTTTTGTAAATGTATCATAAAAAATCCCCTGATAAGGAACTCACCTGTGTCTTGGAAGTCCTTGGGGACACACAGAGGGAAGGTGGTGGAGCTCTTCCAAAGCAGTTACAGGAATGGCAGGACCAATCCCTCCAGCTCACCCTTTGGGAAGCACTTGGCTAGGGAGCAATGTCCATGCTGAGGAGCAGCAGAGGCAGGTAAAGCCTTAAAGGAGCTGCTCTCAGCAGCCGTGTGCACAGGAAGCCTGTGGCACACCTAGGGATCTTCCCAGCCCGTATTACTCCTGCCTTTTCCCACAGCCCTACACTTCACTCTTGTGACACTCCCATTGAAAGAACACGTCCATCTACCTGTTCTCCCCTGCAAGACAAATGGTTGTTCTGGAACCAGCTGCATATCTGACCTGCAGTCCCTGTTTCTCTTCATTACAACTCTTAAAGGCTCACTGTAGTCTATTTAGCCCTATTAAATTAGATAAAAGGCTTAAATTACTAGTGATATTCTGTAGAAGGCTCAGCTTCTGTCACAACAGGTATTAAGCCTTTTAAACAAATCTAATTTATATAACCACTTTAAACAGATGAAAATAATTTGGTCCTTTAGTTCTTTATTAAAATTAATTTAACAGCATCTCTGTAATGGAACCAGAATACTTTTAGATCAAATCCTGTTTTTCTCAGCCACCAGAAGTTAAATTTCCCTTACAATAGCCCATGTGAGCTCCTTACAAATTATCCTGAACTATCATACTTTTAGAGTCCATATATATAGCTGGTACTACCATTGTATGAACTGAGTGTAATAATTTATTACATAAATAATAAATGCATTATTAATTATCAGAATATTTTTTCAAGTAAATAAATTATGCTTCCTTAATAGTGAAATAGAATTTTAAAAACTACATTTCTATTTGTAAATAAAACTGGGATTTGCTCTCTTTAGTGTTTTTTTTAACCATTCGTCAGGGAGACACATTTAAATCTGTAATTCCTGTCCTTATTCTTAAAATTTTAGTCTTAATGTGTATTTCATACTGGTTATCTTTGTTGTCTACTAAAGGAGAAACATCCTTTGCCAAATGCTGGTTTCCTTGACCCAAACACTGACCTACCTACCAGTATTTCACTTGCTTCTTCTTTTCCTGTCAATCGTCCTATCCTTAGGTTCTCATTTTCAAGAATGTATTTTCCACATCTTTATTTCTCCTCTGCTGACCAGCTCTTCTCCTGTTTGTAGTTTTCCACATTTCAATCTACGCTTTCTCCTATGACTCTTTTTTAGGAAAAATTTTTGCTAATGCTTTACTAAGTCAGCAGAAAGGCATAGAAAGACATGCAGGAATGGATTGAGTAACTATGGAATGTTTTACTTAGGAAAAGGAGGTTTCCATCACTGCCTGGCAACTGTCATAGGAGGCAACTCTTGGAAACCTACAGTTCCTCTAGCCCTAATTGAGACTCAAAGCAGGTAGCATAGTCAGTTTAAAATAACAGAGAATACAGGCAGCACATGGCTGTACAATCTCTGCAGCTTTGGATGCTGCCTTTCTCCCACTTTATCTAAGAAAAAATAAGTGAATTCTATTAATGTCCTGTGACATTTTAGTTTGGCAAATAATCAAATGAATTTAGCGCTAGACTTTTCAAAGGAATACTATTCTTCTTTACTGTATGCTCATTTATCATTGTCTGATTTTATTTGATGGCAGATAGTTATATCTTTGTAGATTTCCTTAAATTTTTTTCTCAGTGGGATGCTATACTTGATTATGGTTCTCCTAATAACAGTGGGTAGTACAGTCAAAAGCTTCTTTGATGTCTCTTCCCTGTTTGCACAGGCTATGCTGCAAGACTCAATAATGGTTTTAAAATGTAAACTCTCTTACTCTCAGTTGCCGGCCACTGGTTTTGCACCTCGTACGGGTGTGGAACACTGGGAACATCCTGGCAGCCCCTCACTCTGTGGGGATGAACCAGGGCTGTGCCTGGGGAGCGGTGGGAGGTGAAGGTGGTACCGCCGGTGGAAGGAGACGGCTGGAGGTGAGAACACAGAATCACAGAATCCTTAGGGTTGGGAGGGACCCTGGAGATCATCCTGTCCAACCTGCTCTGGGACACCTACAGCAGGGGACACGGCAGCACATCCAGGCGGGTCTGGAATGTCCCCAGAGAGGGAGACTCCGCCACCGTCCTGAGCAGCTGTTCCAGTGCTCCGCCACCCTCATGTAAAGAAGTTCTTCCTCCTGTTGAGGTGGAACTTCTTGTGTTTCAGTTTATGGCCAATGCTCTTCTGTCGCCGGCACCACTGAAAAGAGTCTGGCACATCCTCTTGGCAGCGGTCTTTGAGATATCAATAGGCCTTGAGAGGGGATGTCATCAGTCTCCAGAATAACAGACCCTCACCTGCACACGTGTTAAAAGTACCGCGTGTAATTTTCTTTCCCCACGAACCAAGGCAGAGCCGGGTCCCAGCCGGGAGCGAGGCGTGTCTGTTCCGGTGCTAACGTGACGACTTCCAGGAAAGTCGGTTTTTCCTCCCCCCTTCCCGCTCGCCCCAGCGGAGCGTCCCGCGGCGGAGCCGCTGCGGGCTCGGCCGCTCCGCCCTGCCCGCCCTCCTCGGGCCCGGCCCGGGGCCAGCACAGCTCCCGCCGCCGCCTCACGCCGCCCCGGCCCCGCGGGATGGCGGCGGGCGAGGAGCGGAGCCGCGAGTACCTGCGGCGGCACCGGCTGCCCGAGCTGCTGCACCGCCTCGGAGCGCTGCTGCTCTTCCACCGCCCCGGTGCGCACAGGCCCGGCCCGCCCAGAGCGGCGCCAAGCGGGGGCTGCGCGGCCTCCGCTGCCCCGCTGAGGGCCCGCTGCCCGCGGGCGCTCTGACGCTCTGACCTCGTTGCAGAAAAGCCCCGCGAGTTCCTGATCCAGGTGCTGGAGAGGGTAAAGGCTGGGAGACGAGCCGAGGGCGAGTACCCGTTCCTCATGGACGAGGCCAACGTGGACGCCATGTTCAGCCTGCTGGATGTCCTGGGCCAGGGCTACATCAGGGCAGCGCAGTACAGGGAAGGTGCGTCCACCTGTGCCCCGCCTCACACCGCACTGTTTCCTTACACAGAATTATTAAAATCGTTTCAAAGTTACCCATCCGTATACTTAAGAGTTATCCACACAGCTGCCCACACGACCTGGAGCTTGGAAAGTAAAAGTTACATGTGGTTAAGTTTCCTACTTTTTAAGTTACATGTTGTTATGCTACACACGTTTACCTTCTGTTAGATCTAGACACCTTTAAATTTAAATTTGCGTTTCCAAAGACTCGCATAAGATATTCTCTTTTGCTAACTTCAGCTCTTAAAACTTTGGGACTGAGCACTGAGGATTTGGAGCTGGAAGACAATGAGATAATCACATTGGATGTATTCAAGGAAGGAATGTAAGTTTAATTGAAATTGTGGGGGGTTTTGGGGTTTTTTTTGGGGAGGGCGGGTGAATAGGAGGTATTTCACTGAGATTTATTTTTTATTTACAAAGCTACATAAATTAAAGCTAAAAGTTGCTAGTTTAAGCTTGACCGTGTCACTTTGCATTGCAAGATTAAAAAAGGTCAGTTACTGCCTGCCCCTCTTGCCTTGCTGTAAGGTGAACCAAGCTCCATGCCCTCCACCACCGCAGTGTCAGGATCCTCTCTTGGTACCTGCCCCCCAGGTGAGAGCACAGGTCACCAGGCAGCCCAGGGCTTAAAATACTGATCTAGGAATGTGGAACAGTGAGGCCCTGTTGTCTTCTTTGCCAGGGGTGGTACCACAGCTAGAGATTAAATGGGTTCAGAATTCAAATAATTCCCCATAGTCAAGGTATGGTTCTAGGAGCAATTTTTTCTTAATGGTTGCAATCACTGAAAGGTAATGAACTAATTATTCTCATTATCTAACCAGAGACTTTATTTTTCTGTTTTAGGAAGAAAAAGATGCTGGAGAGCTGGTCTGTGTATTAGCTTGAGCAGTGGTCTGCTATATATATTAAAAACAGGCATTTTCCCCAATTTTTCTTCTGGTTTGTCAGCTGTGAAGAATCGATTTTAAGCAACACTCTTTTTCTCATCTTCTCTGCCCTTCAGAAGAGCAATCAGCTGAAAAGGACAAATGACAAGAATGTGCTCATGTCTAGCAGGCACTGGAGGGAGTATTGTTAGGAATTGCTGTTCTTAGATGGTTATAACAGATAGATATAATTAGATGGTTAAAAAAAAAAGTAGATCTCTCTCATGCAACTGAAATAGTATTTTGGAGTTTCCTCCTTCAGGTTATAGTTTACAGTAAAGGATTGCTACCTGTTGGCTCATTACCAGTGAATAAAATTAAGTTGGTTTTTGGACTTCTGCTGGGTTTTGGTTTTCGTGTATTTTTAAGGAAAAAACAACTTCAACAAGTTATGACAAATGTCCAGCGCTAAAGGTAGTTAGCACTTCTGAGTGGTATTTTCAAACTTAGCACACACTGTACAATTTATAAGGAGAAACTTCTTGGAAAAAATTAGGAGACAGTCTTGTACAGAAGAAACAATCTTAATTTGTATGAAGAAAAGAGTGACGTATTCCTTCCTTCTGCATTGATTATATACATTTAAATACAGAACAACCATTACCTGGACTTTGGAGATATAAAACATCTCTGTTTAAAGAGTGACCAGTACATAGGGAATATTAGCCCACGTTGTATAAAAATGCTGTGCTCCTTAGAATGATACAGCAAACACTGACAAAGCAGACTATTCATTAAACATAGTTTTAGCTTCCAAATGCAGTGGCAAGGTGGCCATGGAAAATAAGATCTGCACAGTTCAACACTAAGTCTGCAGCATTTTGAATTTTTTTTTAGCTGTATAGGATAAGGTGTAAGATTAGATCAAAGCAATCTCAGCATACAGAAATTAAAGAAATAAGTATATTACAAGATATTTGCTTTGCTTTTGCTTGGAATAAGAAAACTGGACCAAGTTATTAACCATTTCTGAAGAAGTCTTTATTTTCCTGTATTTGGCCAACTAGCTCTCAAATTGAGAAGAATCTCAACATCCCTTTGAGCCAGTTTATAAACTCCAAGTTCATTTAGTGCTGCTGTTGCAGATGGCTGGCTTGGCTTTAATGGTTCATTTTCTGAAGCTGACTGTAGGACATCCTTCAGAAGCAAGGCAGAGCCAATATTCAGGTTCAGGATAATGCAGGCTTCTTTTATGCTAAAGGAAAAGTCACATGGATTAATGTAAGCAGCACAAATTTAAGTGTAACAGAAAACCTTCCATGCTCCATGCTGGTTTAAAAAATACTCAGATTTCAGCCCCAATTAGATGAGGATTTTGATGTTGGACTCTTTACAAGACTCTGAGCTAGTGAAAATGACAAACCATAAAGAAAGTAGCAGCTTCTCGTCCCTGACAACAACTGGACTCCCACACAAGGCAATCCCGAGGAGGAACATAGTTTAAAGTAATCCTTCAAACAATAAAGTTTGTTGTGTTGTAACTGTATCTTTGACTAGTTTACTTGGCCCAAGTTTCAGAGGTTTGTGCTACTTAATATTCCTTCCATAATTTTATCTAGACATCCTGACTGCACAAAATACTCAGAGACACATGCCACAGTCTGTTGTTGTCCGAGTACCTGCTGCAGAATCAACTTTCCTAGTTGAAAACATCAGACGCATGAATGATCCACACATGTAAAGCATGGATTATAACCAACTGTGAAAAAAATCCTGGATCTTCGTTTTAAGCAGAACACTTCTACTTCTCTGGACACTCACTTTTGAAATACCAATAGAGCAGACATTTGCCTACTTACTGCTTAAAGTAGTTTTCTGGCCTCTTGCAATAGTGTGAAAATAAGGGGAACAAATTCCGACTCATGTCAAACTGGAGTTGTGCTGCTCCTCCTTCATTGAAATGATTTGCCATAATGATCTACAAACACAAGGAGGTGTATCTGCAGTTTAAGCCAGTCACTGACACCGACGTGGCATTGCACAGGTCACACTGAAACCCACCTCCTGATAGATGTACAGATCCACTTTCTCTGCAAGCATTTGCCAGAAGATTTTAAAGAGTGAGTGGCAGAGCTGCTGCTCCAGTTGTAGCAAACGGTCTCGCAGTGTCTGCAACATCGGGCACGCGGTGCTCGACAAAGACATCACTGCTTGCTCTGCCTGAGAGGGTAAAGACAACCACCTGAAAAAACCAGTGCACTGCAGTCATTAGAATGAAATCATTCATATTACAACAACTGAAGTTAAAATTACCCTTTAAAAAAAATCTTAACCATTTACAATGTTTCAGAGACAATTCTTTCCCATTTTTAATCTAAAAGTTATCAGTCTAATGCTGTGTTTGAATTTCATTTAATATTAAACTCATGCTTTAGTTATAAATCTCTGAACATGTCATTCTAGGCAACCCCATCTAATCTGAAAATCATTGAGTTCTATTCCTTTTATGAAGTACTTCAGAAATTCTACTCAGGAAAAAGTACTCAAGAAGCCCTAGGAGTCTGTGAAGACATAAGAGTCATGACAGGCCATTTTGCATAAAATCTTCAATACTACTGTGAAGAAAATAATTCCTGCTCAAAATAGAAAACTAGAATGATCCAGAATCTTTCCTAGGGTTTTTAACTAATGCATCCACTAATTGTGGAACTGCATTAGAAAATACAGCACGACAATGGTCCCAAGGTAAGAATAAAGGGAATTTTCCAGAACTTTTCTGCAGCTTTCCTACTCCAGAAAAAACCACTGTCTATTATCTGTTCTTGCCTTTACTTAGTTTAATATTTTAAAAAGGAAATAATACTGTAATTTGTAAAGAGATTAAATAAACAGAATCACCTCTCTTTTTTGTACAGCTTTGCAGCATCTTTGACCTCTCTGAAGACATGATCTACTTGTCGGGTCAGCATGTCGTGCTTCAGGCGCTCCAGGAGGTTGATCATGTCATCAAAGACAGAGCTCTCCATGGACGCCAGCTGTCCCAGCTGCAGCTGGCTCACCGTGTCACTTTCTGCACAAACCTCTAGCTCGGCCTGCTGCAGCTGCAAGAAGAACTAGGCAAACAAAACCAGAGAGGAACATCACAGAAAATAATCTTACCCCTTGAGCTTTTCATTGGTATTTTGTTAGGCACAGTTCAAGAAAACACTCTCTCCTGGCACATTTATAAAACTAAAAATTTAAGATTTTAAAAACACTTTCTTGTCTTTCCCTATGGTCGTGATTTAGTGCAAAACAAAACTTGGTAGTTTAATCCTAGTGATGGAACTGATATAGGTTTCTGATACAACAGCAGACAGGTAAAGGGAACAGATCTAAAGAAATACTGTAAAAATATTTTAAGATTGACAGCAGCATGCTTTTTAAAAACCCTACCTTGGCCTCTTTAAGATTTGCAAAAGTTAACTTTATTGTAATTTTTTTAGCAATGATTATTCATTGAATCATAAATTTACTGTGCTGACAGCAGCAAGAAAATAAATGGAGTTTATCGAGATCGATGTGACATTGTGGTAATGGCTTGTTAGTTTTGCTTTTAAGCAGATCAGGACTCTGTAATAGATGCAGTTATACAACATGAAGGCTGCTGTCCTATCAAGTCACGATTATCTCCTGCTAGAGCAGGATTCTTACTGTGAACACAGTAAGAATTTGGAGGCTGCTCACAGCACACACAGTGCCTTACTTTGCACACTCTGTGTGTAACAGGTTTTTTGACCTTTAGCACCAAGAGCTATAGAAAAGCTGAAATTCTGCAGTAGGCTGTGCTGCCACCAGGCTGTTGCACAGCAGGCACTAATTCCCAGTTATCAGTAAGTGACTTTTCTGGGCTGCACCTGAACCGTGTTGCAACAGAGATATCCACGTGGGATCTGTCTAAGCTCTCCTGCCATGGGAGGAGTTCAAGCACCAGGCAAAGGCTGCTGCTCTGGTTCAGAGATCTACAAAATGAATTCACTTTTTTTTACAATAAAAAGTACGTAAAAGAGACTACTCTTTTTTGGTGTCCTCAGATTATTCCATTTCCCAGGCTGTCTCTGCATTTCCCTAGAAAGTTTTATAACTGGCAGCTTAGGCCTCAAACAATAACCTGTCCTTATTTATACATCTTTTACTAAATCCAAATTTATATCTCATTCTTCTTTAATTCTCCTGAATACACAATAAAAGTGATAAAAATAAAATGTTTATTATGAAACAAACATCCAAAGTCCATTTTAAAATACTTTTTTCCTAAAGAAGAATAATTACTTACTACATTGTCAGCCCAGTCTGCCAACACTGTTGCTATATAGTTAACAGCATTAAGGATTGCACAGTATCGGAATCCTAAGGAAGCTCTTGTCTCTTCCTTCATTACTTGAGTTAATCGTATCCTGAAATCATCAATTAACTCCTTCTGTAGGCCTAGGAACTGCAGTTTTCTGGAAGCTGTTGGAAGATTCTTATACCTGTCTGGAAAGGCATTAATAAAATGTTTTAGGCTTTCCAACATAAAATAAAAGCTTTCCAAAAAGAAACATTACAGGCATCTTACTGTACCACCTCACGCTGATGAGAACATCATATAGTCAATATTTAAATGTCAGTATTTAAAACATATGAAATTTCAATGTTTTCAGGGAAACTGCCTATGCAAAAGCTAAACATGCAACAACTTTCTTCCCCCTCCTGATTCCACAAGCAGTTTGCATTCTAACACTTGAAGCAATGTGTGGTAATAACACACCCTCCAGTGTGGCCCCTCAAGCATCCTCACACAGAGAAAGACAAAGCCATTGAAGATACAATATGTATGTACTGTTGCAAAATAAGAAAAAGTTATTAATAGCTTCTGAACTGTTACAGATTCTAAAGGACTATTAGGATTTATTACTGCAGTGCAACAAATTATATTTTGCCAACTATGAGAGAATATGGTAAATATCCAATGTATATTTTTAATTATTATTTTGTAAACACTCTGCTAGGTCAAGATTATTTATGCATGAGTTAATGTCCAAAATACAAAATGAAAAGGAAGCTTTTATTAAACTGCAAACATCACAACTTTGCAAGATTATTTGGTGACTACTGCTAACAATGAATATTTAGTAAACTATTTAGTAAAGAAATCTGTTAGCTGAAGGTTTTTTACTGTTCATTACACAAACAAGAGCAATGCCCATAAACACAATTACCTGTTATAACTAACAAGAGAGTCATAAAAGTTTCAGCACAGTCTGGAACTTTCATTTCATCTACATCAGTGATATCTTTGTACTGTGATATCCATGCAGCCTCTGATGAAAGCATAGAGTCCATTTTCTGAAGAGCAACTGAGATGCAAAAAACTTGTAAGTTTTTAATAAAAAAAAAAATCTAACAAAAGTCCCTCTAAAATACATTAACATAAAAGCCTTATCTCTAGTAAGTTAAATTTTGCATGTTCAGGTTATAAAAACTACTGACAACTCGTTTCATACAAAACCAGCTTCAATATATCTGCATTTGCAATGCTGTTAACAGAGCTGAATGTCAGAATTGTTTGGGGGATTTGTTTTGTTTTTTGGCTTGCTCCTTTCCAATACATTTCTTCTTAATTTCTCAAAAACTAATACCTCGCCCTTATTTCAATTTAAAGTCCATCTCTGTCTGCACACACATAACATTTGTCTAAAAATAAGCCCACTTGACTGCCTACAGCTTAGTGGCAAGAGTCCCACAAAATACAGAAGCACTGCTGAAGCCTAATCAATTTTTATTTAAAATAATTACAGCGGATAAAAATACATATGTTTTTGGTAGTAGCCCTGTCCAAGTAGCTTATCCAATTTAAGAAGGGGTAAGTAGACTGTGTGAGTAGACACATATTTTCTGACTGTGCAATATAAAGGCCAACAAAATGCACTGGAAGTCTTACATTTTTTTTCCACTGTTAGCCACCTTTGGAAGCAGGATTCTTCTGACAGAATATGCATGCAGCTGGGGAAGCTGCTGAGATAACCATGAACGCTGTATAACTCTCTCTCAAATAGAAGTACCTCATCCACAAGGTGACAAAAGAGTGTATCATCATACAACAGGCAGGGAATATCAGCAGCCAACTTCTCCAAAATCAGCATTACTAGAGCACGAGAGAATTCAAGCTTTGGGAAGGAAAGAAGTGAATGTCAGAGACAGGAAGTACTGACATGTGCAAATATATACACAAGAAACTGCTACTAGACTAAGTCTCACCACGTACACGTTTCAGTGGAAATAGGCCTATGCAAATATCTATCAGAAGCTGACCTAGATATTTATATTCACATTTGCAAACCATTTAATGACTTACCCCAGCATTCACTGAAGATCCTGCTTTGTCCAGTATTGGCTGGATTTTGTCATCAAGAAACTTTGAATGATTTCCAATCCACATAAGTACTTGTGTTAAATACCACTCAGGCTTATTTAAAAAAGAAAAGGAATTATTAAATGCAACCAAACATTTATTCAAGTGGTATTAGTATTTTAGGACAAATGTCTAAAAATACAACTCTTTCCCTGCCTTCTCTCGATCTCAGGTCACACAAGTCTTTGACTCTGTTTTACTTAACTTTCATTTATATAAAAGCATTGTTAGGAAAATATTCACTCACTCATGAAAGCCCTGTTTCTGCTTGATAAACTTCTTCCTGCTGTCCTGTGTGGCCCTTACCTCTTGGTATAACAAAAAGGATGCACTCCCAAGAAAAGCTCTGCTCTTATTGTTATTGTACCTCACCTCTGCCACACCTTCCCCCTAAAAGTGGAGAATCTGTCACCTTCTCATTTCACATTTTAATGCCTTCAAGCTTTTTCAGTTTCCACACCTAAAAATATGGACTGCAAGTTTTGATGAACACTAGTTAGTGCAACTAGAAGCAGTTCCAGTATCGTCACTCCCAATGGCTAAAGAATCTTCTGCTCAGGTGCACTCACATTTTGTGTGTCTGTTTCTCACCTCTGTATCCATTTTCACTTGTCTCATTAATTTTATCATGCCTGGGTTGTTGGGTTTTTATAATACTCCTTCCCCAGCTGGGCAAGGCCATTGAGAACTTTGAGCCTCTCCTCTGAAATACTGTTAATCCTGTTCTGGTTGCTGCCTTTTAAATGTTTTACATTGGTATTTTCTTTATTGCATTATCCAAATTACTCAGCAACGACAACAACAAATCCAACCCCAATTTCAGCAAGGCCCTAATGAAATATCTTTCTTTCTGATCTGATACTAGATTCCCTGTAAACTTTTCTTATCAAGTTCTTTTTCAAATAGTTGTTCACCTATTGTTGTTTGAAAATTCAATGTCTTGAACATAATTTTTCCATTTGCTTTTAAAATGATTCTGTTCATATCTAAAACATCTCTTTCCCACTAATATACACAACAGTATTAAAAAGTTCTGTAGTAGCATCTGTCAAGATTGCAAATGTATTTAGATTTACATTTACAGGTGATCATAAGTAGGCTTGTGCAACAGAACTGTTACAAAACAGCTGTAAAACTCTGCTCCAGATGTGTTACAGTGGCATTAATGCTATGAAACCCATTCCAATGGTAATTCTCAGATAAAAATCCTCAGTCTTTGAAGGCAATTCACACAAAAAGTGAGTCAGTTTCCAACCGGTAGACTCAGCATCTCTTGTTCTATGTCAATTAAAAAATTCAACCCATTAAAAAAAAAGAATTCTTTAACAGTACCTTTAAACTAATCATATTTCATATCCTAATGGCAGAATGCAACATTTTCAGTTACATGAAGGTAGCAAAACATAGTGCCAAAATCAAAGTCACAGCCTTTGAGCACAAGAAATGCAGAACAGTGCAAAACCAAAAGACAGAGGAAATTAATCAAAACTTGTGAACAGACAGGAGTCAGTCTAAGATTGTAATAATGCTTTTTGAAGGATCTGGGAAGGGAAAATTATTGCCTGTGTCTCTGAAAGGTCTCCAAGTGCTATCTTGATGTCTGTCCATACTTAGGTAGGCACAAGGACTGCAGAGTTTTGAGGAATCCTCATTTTGGAAGGTGTGAAATCTACAATTTAAATACAGCAATCTAGAGCTTGCTTACAAAGCAATTTAGAAATGTCAAACCACTTTCTCCCATACCTTGTTAAGAACATTGGTTTGTTTATTTCCAGTGAAATGATACTTGAATCTTTTCTGAAGAGGATTCAGCATGATCTGTATCGGAAGGACAATTGGTGGTGAAGGGGGTAAAGGGTACTTTTCTGGCAATTGTTTAGGTTTGGTTAACAGCTCATCTCTAAGTTTGTCAGTCAAGGATGGACGTAATTAAATGTCGAATTACTCCAGCATCATCATTTCAACTGAATAGAAAAATGAAAACTGCTTAGTTCTACACCACTGACTGAAAGCACTATTATGAAAACAATACAATTCCTCAAATATAAAAGATACTCCAAATATTCCATTTTATGTAATATTAAATATAACTCGGCCCTTTAGGGATTATTTATTCAATAACAATACACATCCCTTAGGTCTTTTTGATTTAGGAAACTTATAAGAACCCAGCAAACTACCATTATCAGAAACAAACACAGTGGCTGTCCAACAGACACACTTATTCCTATTTGTTAAAGGAGGACAAAGACTCCTGGGATTAATAAATGCAACATATGATTTCCCATTTTCATGTAATGGATTTAAGTGAGCCACTCTGCCAAACCAAAATTGTTACCAATTCAGGATTGTGTACAGCGGCCTTGCACCTTTCCATTACATGATTAAAAAAAAAAAAAAAGGCAGTCACAGTCACACACACACTCACAGAAAAGATTTAGTTGAGCTGAGCTTTAGTTTTAACTAATTTTTTGTGAATTATTTAATTCATAAAAATCAGGGACAAAATGAGAAGCAGTGCCCTCTGAGCAACCTCAAAGGCAGACTATGATTCTGCACAACAGAAATCCTCATGCAGTCTCCCCCTTTTTGTAAAGTCTCCTTCCAAGACATGTATATTTAGTTTTCCCTCTTTTCCTTCTGGGGTGGGACTATTAAAGTGATTAAAGCTGATTTCACATAAGGCTACAAAAAGAAAAGCATTAACTGTGTCTAATAAAACACATATCACCATTTTTTTATTAACATGCACGGGTAATGGTACCAAACAATGTAAGGCCAAATTCTCATGCAACCTGAACTGTCAGCTACCATGAGAGCACTGGATCTGATGACTTGAAGTTAAAATGTTGCTACTGACAAAAAGGACAACTTTTTCACTTGGCATTTTCTAAATTTCAAAAAAAGCCCAAACAAACCACCCCCCTAGCCCCCCACAACATTCTAATGTTAATACAAAGTAACATAAATTATCTTCTGGTTTTAGGGAGAATAAAATTTTAAATAATTCTCCTTGAGAATGTGCATCTCTAACAGTTTTTGTTCTTGCTAACCACAAGAATTTAAAAGGATACGAGGTTTGCAGTTTCAGAAGCTGACAGAACAGCATCTCCAGGTTGTTGTACACCTCAGGAGCGTTGGCTGGTGCAGCAAGGCCAAATGCCTGGGACTGAGGTGGCCCCACAAAGGGCCAGCGGAGCTGCGTCAGCACCTCCTCAAAGTCACTGCAACACAAAACAAGCACGTGGACATCAACCTAGAGTACAGTGTAAAGATGAAGGAGTCACAGTATCTCTCTTACCTTGTCAATTTGTCCTTAAGGATTTTATGCCAAAATTTAACAGTGGATCTCACAAAAGCAAGAAGATGAGAACAAGATGACTCCTGAAGTTTAATATCCAGTTCTGCCATGAATGCCAGAGTACTGGCTGCCTCTGGAACATTGTTGGTCATCAGATATTGCTGAATGCTATCACTATAAAACACAAAAAATCAAGACCAAAAATTCATTAACAATAACAGAAACAAATCAGTCCTATATTGAAAAGTAAGGACAAAACTTTCTTGAATTTAAAATATTTTAATAACGGGATAAACCAGGTCACCAGTCTCAGAGCACATATACTGTACTCAGAAACTACCTCAGCTCTTCTATGCGAGAAATCCACTTGAGGTAGGCCAAGTGTCGCTCGATCTCCTCTACCTGACCGATCAGTACATCGAGATCCTCCATCCACGGCTGAGCTTTCAGCAAGTGGCTACTGATGGCCTCAGACAGAACAGTTTCTTCCTCTAGAAGCTGACTCAGAGACTTTTTGGAATCTTCTGCATTCTTTAAGGCATTTTGAATTCTTTTAGGGACTTCTGATGAAACTGTTAGTACCTGCATTGACAGAGAGGTATTAAGGCAGACATAAAACCACTGCATTGTGTAGAGCAGTACCATTTGAGATACTGATACATTTCATTCAGTTTAATATTCTTCATCAGTCATACAGCATGTTCAGAAGAGGAAAATAAAATAAAGCAGAAAGATGCTTACCTGTTCTTCTAAGTGCTTTTTGTTTTCAGATAGCTTTTCAATCAGGCCGTCCAGCTTCCCCAGGGAATCATAGTCATTTCCCAGTTCTCTTTCCACAAATTCAGAAACATAGTATGGAATATCACAGCTCTCTAGATCTCTAGTGACTTCTTTCTTTTCAATAGCAATGTTTGCCATGTTTTCTTTCTCTGCAATACTGAGTATACAATTTCTAATTAGATGACACTAAGACAGCACAAACAAATATTATCTACTGAGGAACAAAACTCCATGAAAAGCTGGGCAGTTCAATTTCAACTGAGACTGAAATACCACATTCATGAATTATACTGCTTTAAGTGAGATAATTTGCTGGCTTAAGTCTAATCTGAGGTCTAATAAAACCTTGCTTACATATCCAACTGGTGATTTATTATATATTAACTACCAAAGAGAAATATATCTGTTAATTTCTTCCTTCCCCAAAAACATGAATACTATTGAAAACAGTTCAACAAATATGTAGTTCCTACATATATAATATAGAAAACTTAATGAAAACTACAAAAAAATCGTAAAATGCAAAAGAAGATAATATTCCACTTTCCCTTTCCACAAGTTTAGGGTATTTCAGAGATATCAACTCATGATTAATGTGTTATTAGCAAAGTATCCATGTGGCCTTACAATAGTTTGGAAAGTAAATGCATCACTGAAATATTTACCGAGAAAACCCCACACAGTATAAAATAAAAGACACTTGCTGATCCACACACTTGGCAGCATCCAGAGAAACCTGACATTGAGACGACGTCCACAGTGAAACAGAAAAGACAACAATGACAACTGTTTGGCTAGTTCAATCCTCAGCTTCTTAGTATCACTTTCAAAACAGTATTTAAAAATAAAAACATATACACTTGCACTTCATCTGCTACAAGCTTTAATTAAGCTAAAACCCCTATTAAACTGACAACAGGAGTGAGAAAGCGCAGCTGATGAGCCAGAGGCAATAGAGAGCAGCAGAAGAACAGAGTGACCAAGGGCGCTGCAGAGGAAGAAACGAATAAAGAAAACAGAGTAGTAAAACTCCTGTTTGCAGCAATGTAAACATAATACGGCAGGAAAAAAATAACCAAGCGGTGATCTTTTCATACTTAGTAGAAAGGATGGGGTTACAGGAGAGAGGAACAGGACTCTGAGCGCATCCCTCCCAGCAGCTGCCTGCTCAGCCCCGCGGCTCAGCACCCACCTCGGCCAGGGGCCGGGCCCTTCCAAGCACAGGCTGAAGCTCTGCGGGCTGCGGGAGGCTGCGGACGAAGCGCCGCCGACCACGGCCGGGGCTGGGCGGCCAGACAGCCCCTCAGCCCGGCGGCGGCTCGGCGAGCCCTTCCTCCCCCGCCACGGGCGACGGCCGACGAGCCGCTGCTCCCACTCGCAGGACGGTGCCGCGGGGACGGGAGGGCCGCGGCTGCCGCCGCCCGGAGCCCTCAGCGCGCTCCCCGCGCGTCCCGGCGGCCGCAGCGCCGCCCCCGCCGCGTCAGCGGCTGACGGAGCGAGGGGCGCAGGCGCGGCTCCGCGCCCGTGGGCCCCGCGCCCGGCCTGCCGGGGACTGGGAGCCGCGTCCGCCCGCCCGGGGACTGTCCCGGCCCGGGGAGACTGCTGTGAGGGACACGGCCCGGGCAGAGGGAACCGCGTCCGCCCGCCCGCCCGCCCGGGGGCTGTCACGGCCCGGGGACTGCTCCGAGGGACACGGCCTGGCACCTCACGGCCTCCCCGCCGTGCAGCTCCGCCGTCAGGACTAGCAACACATGCTTTTGCATTTGGCTCCAAAGGCCAGGTCTCTTTAAAGCAGCTCCACAATATTTTTTTCTTTCCCAAGAGGAAGGCCGGCTCATTCCCAGCCAACAATAGGCAAGGGACAAGTGCAAAGGAAGCACATACACGCTCAGAGTTTCAGGTTAATTTATTTTTAGTACCTGTTCCTTAGTACAGGGTATTAGCTGGAAAATAAAAGTATTTTCTCAAGGAAAAGTCAAACTAGTTAAAAAAGCTGTACAGCTTTGCAGCACACTAAAGCCTTGCTAACAGGATCTGCTATGGCATCAGTGCAAATGCTACCAGCAAAACTCCAGCGATATGTATGTTCAGCACTATCTTAATTTTGTTCTAATTCATCTTTCTTCGTGTAATTCATTGTATTTGAAAAGACTTCAAGGTCGGCTGAACTCGTGAAAACATTCAGTGCTTGCTCAAAGAAAGCAAGATAAACATTCTTCCAGGTCTGATGCCATTGTAAGCTCAATTCTAAAAACGCACCCATATTACAGCTCAATCAACTTAGTCAGTAAAAAGCACCAGTCACTAAAATCTGTATTACATTACAGTCACCATCTTGCAAAAGACTACTGAAGTTAAATGCTAGCACTAAAAAAAAAAACTTAAAAAAATACAAATTTCTTACTGTGACTCTTTAAAGATTTGTACAGAACATGTAAATAAAAACCACTTTGTTAAAATTAAGTAATTTTGCAGTTCATTCAGCGCAACCAGGTAGTATTCAGTTGTGTCTGGTTTTTTATGCTTGTGTCCATTTTCAAAACTTCTCGAATTGCCATGGTAGCGTAAGTGGATGGGGGAAGGGAGAACTCCATCTTTAGTGCCCTGAATTTGCCATCTGTCAGAAGGTACAAGACACAAAAAGCAAGAACAAGTAGTTAAGGGCATATATAATGCTTATTCTGGATGCCACCTAAACTGAACTAAGCTTGCACAACCAACTTCCCCAGCCCATAAAGCAAAACAACCACCACCATCACACTCCTGTTTTTAATTCACAGTGAAAAATTTAATGAAACAATTTTTTTAACATTTTCTCTCAGCACAAAGTGGTGGTTTCAGAGTTTTCTTCTTTTAAAAGCAAACATTCTTTCAGACTGAATTCCTAGCCTGTCTTCACTTTTCTGGAAAGCACTGTCAAAACACCTTGTGACCAAAGTTAAGTATTTGTGTTAAATGTTCAGCACCAATAATACATTTGTGACTTAACTGCACCTTTGTTAGTCACAGACATTTACTGCTAAGCATTTACTCGATTTTAGATGCCTGTAAGAAAATGTAGCAGTCAGAGATGCTGGAGAAATGACTTGCATCCTTAAGAAAATAGGGTCCTTATTTAGATACCTGGCTTTAGAGGTTGTTGTTACCATTGCTTAACAGTCAATACTTAAATGAAAGCTCTTCCTTAAAATATGTAGCAGTTGAAAGCAATAGCCAGATCAAACTTCCATTTAGCAAACTAGTAGAAAAATCAACTTACCTGTAGGGAGAACTGGTAATGGTTTTCCTTCCAGTTTATCCAAATCCGTAGTAAATAACGGGATTTTAGGATCATCATATGCAACAACTTCCCTTTATAATATACATAAAATTTATTATTATTTTAAATTATTTAGATTAACATTTTATATAAATGTGTACTTACTGTAATACTATTTTTATTATTATTATTGTTGCAATTTGGCACTTACAACTGAAATTGAATTAGGCAAAATAACAGGTAAAGCTTTATGCAGAGGACTTGCCTTAGCTTTATGATTATTAAGAAACAATTGTAAATTAGTGAGAAGTTTTTTTGCCTTTATGTGCTGTCAATTTCCAACTATACAAGATGCATAGTTCATGACATTAAGGGAAGAATGGTGTCAACTCTAAGAGTACCTAGCAGGAATGAAGCCTTCCAATACAGTCATCCAAACTTTGAAAGGGCTTAATTCTACATTCTACAGTTTCTGCCATTCATTTAACAGAAATCTCACGTGGAACCATGGGACTGAAAAACTAACTCAGAAGTAGATAAGCCTAATATTAATTAGTGCTGATGTTTCAAGTGCATAAATATTTGCACTTTTGTGCTCCCTCCTAGACCCTCTATATTTTATTCTATGCATCAGGGATCATGTCTTTCTGCACATTTGTATAGTTCCCTGTTTAAAAGGTATTTATTCAGTTGCCATATGAAAACTAGGCTATATCTCTAACAACAGTGATTTAGTAGGTTTAAGTGATACAAACTTTCTGATTAACAGGTAATCGGAGACCACCTTTCTCATAGCAAGATGACAAAAAAAACCCTGTTTTAAATATTATCTATCATTGTTTCAACATAAGTAATTATCTATGAATTGTTCAGGCAAGCCATTGCAAGGAGTGAACAGCTAGATAAATGTCTTGATACTCCTTCAGCCCAGAACAAAAGAAACAAGGAAGAAATAAGGGTATAGTTCCACTTCATCTGCATTAAAAACATGAGAAAAGTGCAGAGATTCCTCTCTACCTATGTTTCAGTCTGTGTGGATGTCCCATGGATTAGTCTCATGTTGTTTTGTACTTAAATAAACTCTATGCTGTCAATTCAAGTGTAATTTCCTTTATGCTCCCACTCACCAATTGACATTCTGAGGCCGAATGATAATCTTTCTGTATGCTCCAGAAAGTGAGTAATCTCTGATTTTATGCCTCATGTTGTTGATATCAAGGTTGTCAGCTACCAGCATCTCCTTGTAGGCCTCACCAACTGCAAGAGAAGAAAATATTTAATAGGAGAGAATGTAGTGTGGCCAATTTAAACAGCCTGTTTTCATGTATAGTTCCCTTCCCTTACACTTAGTAGTTTTCAGCATATGTGGGAAAAATGCTACAAAGAAGTCTAAAATTATTGCAAATCTTACTACTTGTTTACTTCTACACTCTGATTAGTAGAGGCAGTAACAAAGAACACATCAAACAAAATTTCAGCTGAAAACAAAATTTACAAAATATTGACATTTAAATGCCATCTCATATATGCTTTCCAGTTTTCTAGACTTCACAGGACTATCTCAGGTATATGAAAAAAAAAAAAAAAACTAAAAATAAAGGGCCAGACTACCCATTACTCTCTCATTAAAAAGCAGCAGAGAGAAATCAGTTGACAATTTGACAACCGAGTACAAGAACGTTTCAATCCAATACTGAGGAAAACGTGCAGGGAACTCATGACTAACCTCATCTATAAGAATACACAGAGCAGGTGAAACCTAGGGGCAGCTACAAAGAGGGACTATACCAGCATTGTCCAGACACACAGAAATGGTCTTAGGAAAGCCAAAGCTCAGTTATAGTTGAAAGCAGCAAATGACATCAATACCAACAAGAGTTCAGCTGGAACATAAGGAATGAAAAGATACAAGGAAAGCGATGGTCTGGTGCTAAATCGGACAGCTGTCCCAGTGACAGACATAAGGCTGATGGTCTCAGTGCCTCTTTTGCCTCAGCCTTGACCAGCAAAGTGCCCCAGGCCTCTCTTCTTAGAAGCAAGGTCTAGAAAGAGAGGGACTACCAGGAGTGGGAGAAGATACAAGCTGAGAACTGGCTCACATCATGGTGAAGGTTTTCTCTATCACCTCAGAGATTGTTGCAGATCTAGGGATGTCCCAGACAACTGCTGAAAACCAAGTGTTGCACCCAACTTCAGAAAGAGCAGGAAAGATAATTAGGGAATTACAGACCAGTCAGGCTCAGTCTGGTCCCTGGGAAAAATAATGGAGTTAATCCTCTTTGGGCACACAATGACTGATTTTAATATGGGGAGAAAAAGGCAGAGAAAAAGCAAAATACCCACCAACCTTACTGTCTTCTATGATGAAATTACTACACCTGTGGATGAGGGGAGAGCAGGGACTATTGCCTGCCTTGCCTTTAGCAAGGCTGTCAGTGTATTTCCACAGCATCTTTGTGTCCGAGGTTAGAACATTACAGTGGGTGGACTGTAAGTGGGTAACAGCTGTCTGGTTCAGCATCTCAAAGTATAGTCACTAATGGTTGCAGCTCTACCTAGAAGCAGATTTCCTCAAGGAACTGAGATATGTGCTGTGAACCAGTGGAGAAGAGCTGGAATTTACCCCAAGTGATCTAAAGTGGGCTAAACCAAGCTGGGGTAACATTCAATTCATGCAAGGACAGGACTGCCATTCAGAGGGACTGAGGCACAGTAGAGGAATGGGCCAAGAGAAACCTCATTAAATTAATCGAGGACAAAATCCTGTACCTGATTAAGTTCTTGCAGTGGTACAGGTTAGTGCCTGCTCTGCTGTCATCCAGGATTCCCAGTGGGAAGGAGACTG